GGTTAACCGATTAGTCGAATAGTCGGATAATTTTACGAGCCCTACTTCATAGCATAGACAAATGTTTTACATGTACATACATAGAAAAAAAAAAAATGTAAAAACACCAATAGTCAGCAGCGCCCACAAAAAGGTCAGTAAACGCTTGAATTGACATTTAAGTTAGGTGCTACCGCCATCACCGTCACCGTCGCCCCAATGTTCGTTCGATTATTCCAGCGCCTCGTTAGAGTGGCCACTGATTTGCTGCTGGCCACTTGCCAAGTATTGATTGTCTAGTAAATTTTGCAGTGCTTTAAATTTTTGGCAGCAAACATGTTTCCTCTGGAAATCATGCTGATGTCGAGCTTTTGACAGTGTCATGAATTTTTATTTAGGAGCTTACATATTTACGAGCAAAGATTCGATTTAATATATGACGCCTGCTAATGGTAGCAAAATATTATTATACAGGACATCAGTCGGACGTATGAGTGGATATTGTTTTTAGAATTTGCATACAGATGAGCTTTTGTATGGATATTAACTTACAACAGTGCTTTAAAAAAGAATAGTGGCCGGTATATTCACCGGTATAATTTATGCATAATTGAAATCAAAATGAAGCATTGGAAGATTTTGAGTAGGATTTTGTGTGTAAGAACAATTTAATTTTTACTTAAAAATTAGCATTAAACTTGAAATAATGCAAATTTACTTTCTTTGGGACTTAGTAGTAGGTAACCGCAGGGGCATCCCGGAAGTATCTCTTCATTAAGAAAAAAGTAACATATTTTTTTCAAACAAATACAAATTTTTAAACGAAGAGTATTTTTTAAACAAACTTAAACATATGTAACTCTTTTCGAATATTTTAATATTTCATATAACTTGCCAAATTTGGCTTTTCTAACAGATGGAAACCCTCTTCAAAAGTATTTTAAAACAAAAACTTTCTTAAATCTCTTCCGCCTGACATTGTGGCAACCCTCTTCAAACACCTCAAAAATATTCAAATGCTCAAACTAAAGATTTTTTAACACTCGCGTCAACCCATATGTTAATATATCGTATAACATGAGAATAATTTTTTTAAATTCGACTTTTCAAACAGGTGGCAAATTTCTGGAAAATGTTGTTAAACTAAAACTTTCTTAAACCTTTTTCGTCTGGCACCTATGAATATTATGGTATATATCTCAATTACCTAATTGCAT